GAGAATAAAAAGAAAAATAAATTAGATCCCCGTAAAAGTAAGCCAGTTGCTACTTCTTTCACAGTTTGGTGGAACTTTTAAAACAGGTTTTGTTCATAAGAGTACAAAGTAAATTCAGAGTTACGGAATACCCAAAGCGAACATAATTGTTTTTGTTCAAGCAGTACACAAGAAAAGAAAAAAGCTTAACGACTATTTGTTCTTCACCTTTGATAGCTATACCCCGAGACCCAAATTTTCATGTCTACAAGGTGGAAGACTATCCAGACAAAGATGGGTAGACACTGTTATAAAGCACACTACATCGTTTTCTTTTTTCCCCCTTTTTTTTTGGGGGGGGGGTGGGGGTGTTTGGCGTATGTTTAACAGCTTATTATGCTTTATGAGGCGGCCCGCATATAACCTGCCTGTCAAGTCCAACCCGAATGCAGTAAGATACAACACCCCAGCAGCCAGACGGAGACATTTAATTGATTTTGTAAAAAAAAAAATTGGCCTACTCGGGAACCGAACTCCCGCCTTCCGAAAACTACAGAGAAGAGCCTAACCGTAACACTACAAACACTGGTTTGCCCACCCTCTAATCTTCAGACAGACTCCAGCATCCCCCAACGACATCTCACAGTACAATTTAAATGAAGCGGGCGAAAAAATGTGTAAAACACACAAAAAACCCAACAAAATAAAGTGAACAAACAGAGCCATCCCCCAAAACAAACAATCAAGCAAACAAAAACAAACAAACAAACAATCAAACAAAACAAACTCCTCCCCCCCCCCAAAAAAAAAAGAAACTTCAAGAACAATACAAAAGTTACAACAAACAAACAAGTCAACTACACATGCAAAAAACTTTCCGGTAATTGTACATTTTGACTACCTATTCTTAAAACAAGTCAGAAAAACTCTGTGGCGAATGATGTCACTGGCACTCAAATGTGGCCATACTGAGAGTGGAAGTCCGGATTATGCGTAGTAGGTCAATTGACTTATGAATAAAGGGCTTAATTTTACTTTTACCCAATTTGGATGAAGCAGACGCAATAATGTAAAGAAAATAACAGTAACTGTATAACTGTAAAACAATTTTCCTGTAACCCGAAGGTAAATGGACAGCTAAGAAATATTACATACTTTATCTATAGACAGATCTCTTAGACCGCTAGGCAAATGCCCGCTCCACTCGCCGATACCCACACTATATTCAAATACAGGATAAGACTACCTAATCTGATTGTGACTGAAGCAAAGCCAGGGGTCAGTAGACCGCAGGCGATATGATATTGACATACAGATCAACAGGAGCGCTCAACCAACGCAGGAGTTCGGAAACGGAGAAAAAAATGTCCCTGCTACGACCTAAGACCGAGATCGTCTACTCCTATTGAAACTGTGCCTCGAGCACCAGCTGAGATTCAGTCAGTACAAGATGATGCCAGTCACGTGACCGATGTCTTCTTCCGGCACGACGGATTACCCAGAATTCTCAGCCACAACAAGCTTTATCGTCACCGACTCTACGTCCTGAAATCGCGGTAGAGAATAAACTTCAGAATTCACACGGAGTTTACTGTAAAAGCTAACTTGTTGTTGTTGTTGTTGTTGCCAGGTTTTTAAAAATGCTCGTATCGTGGCGTGTTTCTTTTCGTTTTGGTTTTTAATGTACTTTTATTCTTGCTGCAAAGAATACTCAACTCTCACATGTAAGTTTACTGTAAACACTACATCTCGTTGTTACACTTGTTCTGTTCATTTCTACATTGCTTCCTTTGGTATAGTTGGTAGCCTACCCAGAATTCGTCATCACCATGGGCATTATACCCATCGACAGCCCTTCGTCACCGCTGCACAGAATGACACTGACCTTAGATCACACACACAGCGTTTACTATTAAAAAAAAAGCCGCAACCTTGTTAATGTACCACTTTTGCTTTTTGTCTCTTTGCTTGTTTATTTCTTTTTTTTTAATGAGTATTTTTCTCGTCCCCATAAACATATTTTAGGTGATTTAGGAGGCAGGCTTCGGTACTGCTTGTCAGGTTTAACCGGGCTGAAGTAGATACAACTTCCAAGCGGAAAGACTGAAATACTCGATAAACATTCTCCCCACACGAGACTTGAAATGAGGTCCTCTGCGCGCGATGGCAAAACGGCTACACCCCCGGTATTTGTCTATTTGGTTTGAAGTTGTTTGGAACCTACCCAGAATTCACCATCTTCTATCGCCATGAACATTATCCCCACCGACACACGCCAGTCACCGCTGCTGGAGAATACTGAACTCACACTCGTGCAATATTTTCTGAGAAATTTAACTGCCTTTTCCTCGTAGCCACACTTTTACTGTCCATTTCTGTTTTTGTTTGGTCAGTTTTTCTTTTAAAAAGTTGTTTTTTAAAGCTGTTTGCATGATTCCTTTTTGTGCTCCTCGCCCATTCCTATCAAATCGGCGCCTCTGATTAGTGCCAAATGGTACACGTGATAGTGTTAACTATTGCATACATATGAAATTGTAAAATGTTAGCTCAATTAATGATGATTTAGTCTACAGCGTAATCAAGTTTTTCTTTCCAGGTGACATGTTCGTCATCTTTCACTGTTCAAGACAAAAATGAAGGCAGTAAATGGTTACTATGCTATCATACGCTTGCAATGAGCATCTCGATGATAATATTAGCAATCACAATCATTACTTTGCAGTCAGACATATTGTTCTGGCTTGCATCCTATTCAGAGTTCTACAGCACCACAATCATTAGAACCAATAACACTCGTCAGTCATCGCCGTCGAGAATAACACAGAACTCGCACACAGAGTTTACTCTGAATGTTCACACACAGGAAGATCCTTTAAGTGGCATCCGGCGGAGACCCTCTCTGTTGGCAGGTCAAATATTTGACAAACGGGGCGGGGCGTCCCAATCAAAGCAAAGAGCTAATCCAATAAAAGGCAAGTTCACAAACTATGGACGCGTTATCGATTACACTGCTTTTCCGTTAGGGGTGAAGTAGAAATGTTAAAATGTGTATCCAAGTGTCATGTCATGATGAACCTAATTTTACAGTCTGGACATACTGGTGTTTTGTGCTGATGTTGAGACCCCACTGTGAATTCTTGGAAAGGGAGAAAAGAAAAGGAAAATTCATACACCTCGTAGCTTTCCTTAATTTTTTGTTTGTGCTTGAAAACTCCAACCTTTCATGAATTTTAACTTCCCTTTTCCACAACACCATATTTGAATAATACAATATAATAAAGACACAAAAGCAAAACAGAGAAAAACCTCCATCCAAATTTCCTCTTAAGAAACCTTAAAGCAGTGCTTGTCAACCTTTTTAACAGCCAGCGCCCACAACTGCCACGGGTTAGAGGTCAAACTTTTCGTACAACCCACCTACTTGTATTTCCAAGCGGGACATTCAATAATACTCGTCACTACCCGGGTGATCCCCATCGCCCACCACAATTACCAAACGGGCCATACGTGTACAATATCGCCCAGGTTGGCAAGAACTCACTACCTTAACGTGTGAACATTTTCCCATAACACAGAGCTAAGGTATATTTGACTGCATGTTTAGCCAGGTTATTACCCCCCCCCGATGTTCTATTATGTCATTGGACGATTGTTGAGTCTATGCATGTCCGATTTATTAACGCGTTTGTCCCTTTTCCCAAATTACAGGTTGGCCTATTGTCTTTCTTTTCAGCGTTTTTTTTTTCTGTTCAAATACTAAAAAAAGTAACAACCACTGATTTTTCCCTCCATTTTTGTAATTCTAAAAAGAAAGAAATTTAAAAAAAAACCCCTCGCCATACGTTCAACCTGGTCTTTATAATGTCAGAAAGGCCAAAGTAAAGAGATAAAAAGGCCTTAAAAGCCATCCGCCATGTCTCCGATAATTGGCATAATCTACCCTGTTTACCGTTAAGCCCCCTGACAACACTTCCAATTAGAGCCATCCAAGATATTTAGCCTTTTTTAACTTGTAGCTTGCTCGTATTAATGGGATATAAATGATATTATATTTGAAGCTAGCGCAAGCATTTTAAACAAATTAGAGTCTAAAAGGTCAAGGAGACAGCGCTGATCTTCTCGCCCTAGTCTCTTTCCTGTCATTTATGGCTTTAAAAATCGCAGAAAAAACAAAACAAAACAAGACAAAGTTCAAAGATCTTTGAAACTAAAATTAATGTGAAAAGAAAAATTACACAGACATACAGACACACTGACACACACACACAAACTCTCACACACACGCACGGA